CATGTGGCTGGGTGCACCACACCTTGGCAAATCAGTAAGAAGGTTCTATGAGGTTAGGCTACTGCAGGGGTCTTCAAACCTGGCCTTTTTATGACTCGTGGACTTCAACTCCCAGAATTCCTGAGCCAGCATGGCTCAGCTTGGAAACCTCTCCCTTTCCCCTCAGCATGGCTGGCTCAGGAATTCTGGGAGTTGAAGTCCACGAGTCATAAAAGAGCCAAGGTTGCCTACTCCTGGACTAGGTCGGTCGGTCTGTCTGTCTGTCTGTCTGTCTGTCTGTCTATCTATCTATCTATCTATCTATCTATCCATCCATCCATCCATCCATCCATCCATCCATCCATCCATCTATCTATCTATCTATCATCTAGGTGAGGGATAGGCAACCTGGGCTCTTTTATGACTCGTGGACTTCAACTCCCAGAATTCCTGAGCTAGCCATGCTGAGGGGAAAGGGAGAGGTTGCCAAGCTGAGCCATGCTGGCTCAGGAATTCTGGGAGTTGAAGTCCACGAGTCATAAAAGAGCCAAGGTTGCCTACCCCTACCCTAAACAGATCCTACCCAGCCTTGCGTAGCCTTCTGCACTATATGGAGGCATCAGAGGCATCAGAAGAAAAAAAAAAAAAAAGGATTTTTTTCCCTTTGAATTGCACAGCAGCGCATTCAGACATTCGGCCTCCCTTCCTCCTCCTCTGAGTAAAGCAGGCTCTTTAATTTAAAGATATGTCAGGTCAGTGGCGCCAAGGCTGGGTTGCTTTGTTTTCCCTGTTAGCGGAATATAGAAATCCTTTCTGGAAGAGGCAGAAAAGGACTTAATATGTAAGGTTGCTCTCCTTGGCGCTGCAGAGGTCAAACGGATAGGTATGGAGTTCAAGGAAATTACCCCGCACGGCGGTGTCCAGAGAAAAATGTTACTCTTGGGGGGATTTTGCTCGGCCCGGCTTTCCGCAGACTGGCAGCTCGGAGCAGCTGTGTCCTTTCGGATGGCGGAGCTGAACTCCATAAAGCCAATAAGCGCCATTAAACCTTCCAAGGGCGAAGGGGAAAGAGGGCCTTGGACAAAATGGATTTTTTTTAATCTGTGTCCCCGGCTCCTTTCAAAGGCCGGCTAGGGTCAGGAACGGCCTCTTGCAGCTTAACCTCTCTTCGATTGCTTTGCTACTCTCCGGGCGCAAGGCAATTTCAGGGACTCCGGGGTGGGGCAGGGAGGGGGAGAGGGAGGGGAGAGGGGGGGAGGGAGGGGGAGCCTGCAAACATTTGATTGAATTCCAGGGAGGGAGGGAGTTTGCAGAGATGGTGCTTAGCGGTGTTGCATTAGAGACATGAAAATTGAGGGAAAGGAAAGCGGAAGGGAAGAGGAAAGGAAAGGAAATGAAACGAAAGGAAGTAAATAGATAGGGAAGGGAAGGGAAGGGAAGGGAAGGGAAGGGAAGGGAAAGAAGTAAATAGATGGAGAAGGGAAGGGAGGGGAAGGGAAAGGAAAGGAAGTAAATAGATGGGGAAGGGAAGGGAAGAGAAGGGAATGAAAAGGAAAGGAAGGGAAGGGAAGGGAAGGGAAAGAAGTAAATAGATGGAGAAGGGAAGGGAGGGGAAGGGAAAGGAAAGGAAAGGAAGTACCGGTAGATAGATGGGGAAGGGAAGGGAAAGGAAGTAAATAGATGGGGAAGGGAAGGGAGGGGAGGGGAAGGGAAGGAAAGGAAGTAGATAGATGGGGAAGGGAAAGGAAAGGAAGTAAATAGATGGGGAAGGGAAGGGAAGGGAAGGGAAAGAAGTAAATAGATGGGGAAGGGAGGGGAAGGGAAGGGAAAGTAGATGGGGAAGGGAAAGGAAGGAATAAATGGATGAGGGAAAGGAAGGGAAGAAAAAGAAAGGAAACAGAATAATAAAGTTGGAAGGGACCTTGGAGGTCTTCTAGTTCAACCCACTGCTCAGGCAGGAAACCCTATGCTATTCCAAACAAATGACTGTCCAGTCTCTTCTTTAAAACCTTCAGTGTTGGAGCACCCACGAATTCTGGAGGCAAGCAGTTCCACTGGTTAATTGTTCTCACTGTCAGGAAATTTCTCCTTAGTTCTAGGTTGCTTTTCTCCTTGATTAGTTTCCATCCGTTGCTTCTTGTCCTGCCTTTGGGCGCTTTGGAGAATAGATCAACCCCCTCTTCTATGTGGCAGCCCCTTAGATATTGGAAGAAAGGAAAGGAAAGGAAAAACGGAAAGAAAGGAAAGGAGGAAGGAAGGAAAGGAAAGGGAAAGGGAAAGAAAGGAAAGGAGGAAGGAAATGAAAGAGGAGAGGAAAGACGGAAGGAAAGGAAAGAGGAGAGGAAAGGAAAGGAGGAAGGAAAAGAAAGAGGAGAGGAGAGGAAAGAAGGAAAGGAGGAAGGAAAGGAAAGGAAAAGAAAGAAGGAAAGAAAGGAAAGAAAAGAAGAAAGGAAAGGAAAGAGGAGAGAAAAGGAAAGGAGGAAGGAAATGAAAGAGGAGAGAAAAGGAAAGAAGGAAGAAAAGGAAAGGAGGAAGGAAAGGAAAGAGGAGAGGAGAGGAAAGAAGGAAGGAAATAAAAGAGGAAAGGAAAGGAAAAGAAAGAAGGAAAGAAAGAAAAGGAAAGAAGGAAGGAAATGAAAGAGAGGAGAGGAAAGAAAGGAAAGGAAAGAAGGAAGGAAATGAAAGAGGAGAGGAAAGGAAAAGGAAAGGAAAGGAAAATTTCAAACAAAAGGTTCATGCAGAGAATTATACTTCTTTGGTTGACAACTAAAGGTGTAGCTGGAGCTCACAGAACTTTTAAAACTTGGCCATATTTGCTTCAAGACTGTCTCCCTGTCTCTCTGCAGCTGCTGGTTTGGAGAGGGTGGGGTTAATTGTCCAGGAATCGACCAAAGACACTGATTCCAACACGGCTCTCCCTTTTTTTTTGGGCTGCTCCCCGTGCAGGCATCCTAGGCAGCGACTACATTAACTCCAACTACATCGACGGGTACCGCAAGCAGAACGCCTACATTGCCACTCAGGGCCCTTTGCCGGAGACCTTCGGTGACTTCTGGCGGATGGTTTGGGAGCAGCGTTCCGCCACGGTGGTGATGATGACAAAGCTGGAGGAGAAATCCAGGGTGAGAAGAAAAAAAAATGCAGTCCATTGGACGGTGCTCCTGCCTCACTTATTGCAGAAAGTTAAGAACGGAGCGCCAAACGTGGGGTCCCTGGTGATCTCTGAACTTGGTTGTTTCCTTGCAGATGTTTCATTACCTAACTAGGTAACCTCATCAGTGCCAGAAGGGAGGGGGCTTTGTGGAGAGGAGGAGGGAGGGAGGAAGGAAGGAAGGAGGGGAGTCTTGGTGCTCTCTCAGCTTGGTGGTTTCCTTGCAGACGTTTCATTACCCAACTAGGTAATATCATCAGTGCCAGAAGGGAGTGGGATTTGTGGGGAGGAAAAAGAGGGAGGGAGGGAGGGAGGGAGGGAGGAAGGAAGGAAGGAAGGAAGGAAGGAAGGAAGGAAGGAAGGAAGGAAGGAAGGAAGGAAGGAAGGAAGGAAGGAAGGAAGGAAGGAAAGGAGTCTTGGTGCTCTCTGAGCTTGGTTCTTTTCTTGCAGATGTTTCATTACCCAACTAGGTAATATTATCAGTGCTAGATGGGAGTGGGATTTGCTGAAGGAAGAGGAGAGAGGGAGGGTGGGAGTGTGGGAAAGAGGGAGGAAGGAAGGAAGGAAGGAAGGAAGTGGAGTCTTGATGCTCTCTGAGCTTGGTGGTTTCCTTGCAGACGTTTCATTACCCAACTAGGTAACCTCATCAGTGCTAGAAGGGAGGGAGGAAGAAAGGAAGGAAAGAAGGAAAGAAGGGGAGTCTTGGTGCTCTCTGAGCTTGGTGGTTTCCTTGCAGATGTTTCATTACCCAACTAGGTAACATCATCAGTGCCAGAAGGGAGGGGGCTTTGTGGAGAGGAGGAGGATTGTGGAGTCCTTGTTGCTCTCTGAGCTGGGTTCTTTTCTTGCAGACGTTTCATTACCCAACTAGGTAACATCATCAGTGCCCAAAGAGAGTGGGGTTTGCAGAGAGGAGGAAGAAGAGTGCACTAAGCTCCAAGTTAAATCCAAAAATGCAAGGGAATTCCTGGAAGCTTGGCCTTCAGACAAATTAGTGTTCAAAAGACACATATGGATAAACCACATTTACACACCATTCAGAGAGAACGATAAAAAAGCTAAGAAGGAAACAAAAAGAGCAGAACGGATCCTCCCCAGCGTCCTACGCCCAGATAAGCAGAGATTGACACCAGATAAACAATAAAGTAGAAACTCCCTAATCAAGGAACTAACCAAGGAGAAAACCTTCACTCCCTCATGCTGCTGATGTTACCTAGTTGGGTAGTGAAACGTTTTCCATAAAACATTCAGAGAGCACCAAAGACCTCACAGTTCAACTTTGAACTACAAAGATTTTTCTCTATAGATAGCCAAATATTGCCTTCCAGTTTTGGGGAAGGCCATTCAATATAACCAAAGGCCTGTATTATTTTTTTTTATGTGTGTCCTATGTGTAATGCATGTAATAGGGCAGAGCTTTTGATCCTGCGGTTGTGTTAACCATCTTTACTTTTTTTTTTTTAATTTCTGCCATCCCCACCCCCACCCCCCAACTTGGGGGCTGGGTTGCTGTCACCTTCCTTACTTCTTCTGTAAATGAAAAGCTTTTTCTGGTTTGAGGTTGAATTGATTGCTTGATTGCCCATAGTGCCTCGTCTAGAGCAAGGATAGGCAACCTTGGCTCTTTTATGACTCGTGGACTTCAACTCCCAGAATTCCTGAGCCAGCCACGCTGAGGGGACAGGAAGAGGTTTCCAAGCTGAGCTATGCCAGCTCAGGAATTCTGGGAGTTGAAGTCCACAAGTCATGAAGGGGCCAAAGTTTCCCTCATGCTGGCTCAGGAATTCTGGGAGTTGAAGTCTATGAGTCATGAAAGGGCCAAAGTTTCCCTCATGCTGGCTCAGGAATTCTGGGAGTTGAAGTCCACGAGTCATAAAAGAGCCAAGGTTGCCTATCCCTGGTCTAGAGTATGTGTCGGTCATGACACTGATACATTTTATATTTATATTTCAAAAATATGTTTATATTTATTGCCTTCTAATACATTTATTACATTGTCACCTTGCAGAGGCGAGATGTACGGCTCTGAGAACTGTTAGTCATTAGGGCTGCCTCGAAGCTTAGTAAAATAATTAAAGTAAATAAGTTGATCCAATGAATGAACATGAGGGAAATTATTTTTTTTGTTTGTTTGTTTTTTCATGCGAGTGCTTAAAAAAACTCCATCCCAACTTCTTTTCTTTTTTCTCTCCCCTGTTGCAGAATTTTAATGTTTTGGTCTATACGGATCCCAGACCCTTGTGATTTATTGACATTTTATAAATGAGGCAAATTGATCCGATCATATCTCCAGTGGGACAGTACAGTTGTGTCATTAAAGATCAGAGGAGAATTGATGTCAGAATCAAAATTCGGTTCCCTGGAAATGAGATATGGAAACCACAAGGCCACTTGCACACTGCAATCTCAGGCGTAATAATAATAATAACAACAACAACAACAACAACAACAACAACAACAACAATAATAATAATAATAATAATAATAATAATAATAATAATAATAATAATAATAATAATAATAATAATAATATAAAAAAAAGTTGGTAGGGACCTTGGAGGTCATCTAACCCAACCCCCTGCTCAGGCAGGAAACCCTACACCATTTCAGACAAATGGCTGTCCAGTCTCTTCTTAAAAAATTCCAGTATTGGAGCATTCACAGCTTCTGGAGGCAGGTAGTTCCACTGGTTAATTGTTCTAACTGTCAGGAAGTGAAGATGACCTGAACTCAATTTATTTCAGGATTTCACAGTGCCAAATTTTAATTCCTTGTGACCCTTGGCATCTTTGCTTAGGAAAGGCAGACCGTTCCCAATTTGTCGCCTCTGGTGTTGTGGGTCAAATGCGAGCAAGTTCAACTTCTCCTTCTGTTTTGCGTTGACATTTCTTTGTCTTTCTTCAGCTTCACGTTTTGTCGCGTGGAGCGAATGATATCATTACAACCCCTGTGTTGATTTTGTTCAGATCAAATGTGACCAGTACTGGCCAGGCCGGGGCACCGAGACTTACGGGATGATCCAAGTGACCTTGTTAGACACCATTGAGTTGGCCACGTTCTGCGTCCGCACGTTCTCTCTGCACAAGGTGAGGACAAGGCCTCTTTCTTTTGGTACGTTTAGTGTGGAGAAGAGAGGACGGCTCTCTTTAAGGATCTGGAAGACAGAATTCTTCGGAGCTGGGCTAACGGAGGGACCAGGAAGCAATTTAAAATACAAAATAATTTAAAATACAAAGAAGTAGACTTCAAAAGAGTGTTCTGAGGGGGGTAAACGCTGCCCACCAATGGGCAAACTACGGGTAGTCCTCGACTTAACAACCAATTCGTTTTGTGACCGTTCAAAGTTACCCATTCTCAACTGTGGACGTAAGTCGAGGATTACCTGCACACTGCATACAGCATCCAGGTGATCATTTATTGAAACATCTCCAGAAAAGGAGAAGGGAACATCACCTCCCAAGGCATCTCTTCCAGGTGTTACTGTTGGGGGGTTGCAGGGGGGAACCTTTATTTATTTATTTCCCTACCTTTATTATTGTACAAATAACTCAAAGTGGCGAATATATCCAACACACCTTCCTCCACCTATTTTCCCCACAAACAACAGCCCTGTGAGGTGGGTTGGACTGAGCAAGAGAGAGAGAGAAATAGACTGGCCCAAAGTCACCCAGCTGGCTTTCATGCCTAAAGCGGGACTAGAACTCACAGTCTCCTGGTGATTGGTTCAAAGTCATCCAGCTAACATTCATGACTAAAGTGGGACTAAAACTCACCATCTCCTGGTGATTGGCCCAAAGTCGCCCAGCCGGCTTTCATGACTAAGGCGGGACTAGAACTCACCGTCTCCTGGTGATTGGCCCAAAGTCACCCAGCCGGCTTTTCTGCCTAAGGCGGGACTAGAACTCACCATCTCCTGGTGATTGGCCCAAAGTCACCCAGCCGGCTTTTATGACTAAAGCGGGACTAGAACTCATAATCTCCTGGTGATGGACCCAAAGTCACCTAGCCGGCTTTTATGACTAAGGCAGGACTAGAATTCACAATCTCCTGGTGATGGACCCAAAGTCACCCAGCTGGCTTTCATGCCTAAGGCAGGATTAGTACTCACAGTCTTCCACTTTCTAGCCTGGTGCCTTCACCAGTAGACTTTCTGATCCTAGAATCATAAAATAGAAAGATTGGAAGTGCCCTTAGAGCAGGGGTAGGCAACCTTGGCTCTTTTATGACTGGTGGACTTCAACTCCCAGAATTCTTGAGCCGGCATGGCTCAGCATGGAAACTTCTCCATTTCTCCTCAGCATGGCTGGCTCAGGAATTCTGGGAGTTGAAGTCCACAAGTCACAAAAGAGCCAAGGTTGCCTACCCCTGCCTTAGAGTCACTTCAACTCCTTGCTCGGTACAGCATCCCTTTTCCAAAAGACAACTGGACCTTCTTGGTTTTCCTTTTTCCTTTTGAAAACATTCCTCTTTTCATCCCAAAAATCCTTCCGTTCCCCACCCGTAGGTTAGAACTGAAGAAGCTTCTTGGATGAGAAGTGAAACATCTTCAAAGGGAAACAAACAAAAAAGAAAATCCAGTTGCCTTTTGGGGGAAAAAAAAAAGCACCTTTGGAACGATCAGATCGGTCGTGCGACCGGCCCGTTTTATGATGGGCATAACTAACGACCGTGATGGGGAAGCTCCATTACGGTCGTACGTTTGAGGACTGCCTGTATGTGATAGGAACATGACCAATTCAGCCTGTGCTTTTCTTTGTTTATAAGATGTTGCCCAAGGCATCTTCCCTTCTGCTCTGCCTCCACAGAACGGATCCAGCGAGAAGCGTGAGGTCCGCCAGTTCCAGTTCACCGCCTGGCCGGATCACGGAGTTCCTGAATATCCCACACCATTCCTGGCTTTTCTGAGGAGAGTGAAAACCTGCAACCCGCCCGATGCCGGCCCCATCGTGGTGCACTGCAGGTACCCCCACGTCAACCCTTTTGGGGCTCCAATGGGTGGTGGCAAAAGTCAAGGATTTGTTTTCATTTATTCGATTAATTTGCCACCCACCTCGTTTCGAAGAGATCTAGGAAGAAACCAACTTGGGGATGATGGCTCTTTTTGATTCACCATTAGAATAGAATAGAATAGAATAGAATAGAATAGAATAGAATAGAATAGAATAGAATAGAATAGAATAGAATAGAATAGAATAGAATTAGAAGAATGGAATGGAATGGAATTAGAAGAATAGAATAGAATAGAATAGAATAGAATAGAATAGAATAGAATTAGAAGAATGGAATGGAATGGAATTAGAAGAATAGAATAGAATAGAATAGAATAGAATAGAATAGAATAGAATAGAATTAGAAGAATGGAATGGAATGGAATTAGTAGAATAGAATAGAATAGAATAGAATAGAATAGAATAGAATAGAATAGAATTAGAAGAATGGAATGGAATTAGAAGAATGGAATTAGAAGAATAGAATAGAATAGAATAGAATAGAATAGAATAGAATAGAATAGAATAGAATAGAATAGAAAAAATGGAAAAATCTTCAACTGTCACTGTTAGGAAGAATAGCCACAGTGAAAATGAATATTTTACCGAAAATACTCTTCTTATTCCAAACGATTCCTGTAAAATTGGGAAAGGTCTTTTTTGATGGATTTGGTGTTTTTAATCCACCTTTTCATGTCCTTCCCAAGCACCTGGGATAGGCAGATGTTGTTTAATAATTTAAAGCTATCTGAGATGGCATAGGATCAGTGATGGCGAACCTTTTAAAGACCAAGTGCCCAAAAATTGCCCCACCCCCTCCGCCCGCCCCCACTCTGCACCTGCCCCGCCCATCCGCAGGACAACCCACCGCCTCCATGGCCCACTGCAGCAGATCGCCCAGGCGGCCCTGGAGCGCCATGGCGGCCACGCCTTCCGCCCGTGCCCTGCAGCATCCGTGCATGACAGGGCGTGAGGGCGGAGTTTTGTCCCTTCTGCCCGGCTGCAATGTCCTTGGCTGCACTGTTCTGCGCAGGCCGCACCCGGGGGTGATTCTCCTCTGGGAGGGCTACTGGTGAGGAGGGGGCCACGGGGGGGTCAGGGCTGGGGCGATGGCACACGTGCCCACAGAGAGGGCTCTGAATGCCGTCTCTGGCACGCGTGCCATAGGTTCTCTTGCTTGAGCAGGGGGCTGGACTAGAAGACCTCCAAGGTCCCTTCCAGCTCTATTTTGTTTTCTATTCTATTCTATATTCTATCCTATCCTATCCTTTTCTATTTCTATTCTATTCTATTCTATTCTATTCTATTCTATTCTATTCTATCCTTTTCTATTTCTATTTCTATTCTATTCTATCCTTTTCTATTCTATTCTATTGTATTCTATTCTATTCTATCCTTTTCTATTTCTATTCTATCCTTTTCTATTTCTATTCTGTTCTGTTCTGTTCTATAGGAATTGTCACAAGATGTAAGCTATTTTGAGTAAAGCTGCCTTTTGCAATTGACCAACGGGGATTTTGTCAATGCCGATGGTGTCCAAGGGGTACTCCAGCTATTTTGGGATTGCACTCAAGGCGCCTATCACTATCGGCCCTACCTTTGTTTTCTTTTGCCACAGTCATTCTATTTCTATTTTCAGATCTTTTGTATTTTGTGATCTTCTCCAGTTCTTTCTCTTCTATACTGCTGTTATTATCATTGTACGTATAGCAATAGATTACAGCAGTCAGTACTAACATCATCTATCTCATGGTCCTCCCCCCCCCTTTTATAATCCCCCCACCCCAGTTGAAGGCTATCACAATATCTCCCCGTTGCAAATTCCCTACATTTCTTACACATTGTGTAGTTTTGTCACAGAGCTGACCAGGTTACAGGGTGTGATGAGGGCTTCCTTCTCAATTGTGCCAGTCTGTCTACCTGTAATAAGATCAAAACTTCCATGGTGATGAAGGCAGTATACAGGGCAATCTTTTATTCCGGGGCAGAAGCTGAATTTCTCTGCTCAAAAATGGGTTCCAAGTAGGCAGTTGAATTTAATTCTAATTTGCATGATGAACAATAGACTTTACAGCACGTGGATGAAACCCAAGGCTAGGATCCATTTATCAAACCTCGACAATCAAACGGGGATCCGGAGATGTTCATTTATAATTAAGGAGGACATTCTTAGAGCAGTGAGGATTTGGGTGAAATTGTCTGTGTGAATATTAACCTTTTCCAAATGTAGTCATTCAGGACTGTTATCTGAGCTTCTTAATAGCCTTCTTTCTGCATCTGACATCTGTGCTATGAGGATCAATCTGTTGTGCTTCTCCCGGGAAAGCGAGGCTGAAACCAATTAAATGAGCACTGAAGAATCCAGGACCTTCTGAGAAGGAATTTATCACAGAAAAGCTATAATCAAAAGAACCCCTGGAATTGCTGTGAAGCAAACAAGAGTCCTATTTATATCAAAGTTCATTTTTTTTCTCTTACCTGAGTTGTGGAACAGGCTGGAGACCACTCCTCTTGTTTTGGACATAAACAGATCTAAACGACGTCAGAAACGAACTCTCGCTGAATTGCTATTTAGACCAGAAGGGGAAAAATGGAATTACAAGGGATGATGGAATTAGAATTAGATGGTGGAGGGATTTTTTTTATTTGAAAAGAAAAGAAACGGCTTCTCAAATAATGGAGAAATTTGTGAATCTTCCAACGAACGAAGTACAGATAGTCCTCAATTTAATAATAATAACAACAACAACAACTACACCCCGGACTTAACAATTGTCGATAAGAAAGACAAAAAAGTCTGGATAGTGAATGTGGCAGTGCCTGGAGACAGCAGAATAGACGAGAAAGAACTGGAGAAGATAACAAAATACAAAGACCTACAAACAGAAATAGAAAGACTGTGGCAAAAGCAGGCAAGGGTAGTACCAATAGTCATAGGCGCCTTGGGTGCAGTCCCAAAACAACTGGAGCACCACTTGAACACCATTGGCATTGACAAATTCGCCATTAGTCAATTGCAAAAGGCAGCCTTCCTAGGAACTGCTTCCATCCTGCGACGAGATCTGTAATACCATCAAACATCCACATCTGCCCATCCCAGGTCCTGGGTAAGGACTCGATAGGTAGACAAAAATGCCAAATCCAGTCTGAACATCTGCCTGACTGTGCGATGATCAATAATAATAATAATAAAGTTGGAAGGGACCTTGGAGGTCATCTAGTCCAACCCCCTGCTCAGGCAGGAAACCTTAGACCATTTCAGACAAATGGCTGTCCAGTCTCTTCTTAAAAACTTCCAGTGTTGGAGCATTCACTGCTTCTGGAGGCAGGTTGTTCCACTGGTTAATTGTTCTCACTGTTAGGAAGTTTCTCCTTAGTTCCAGGTTGCTTCTCTCCTTGATCAGTTTCCATCCGTTGCTTCTTGTCCTGCCTTCAGGCGCTTTGGAGAATAGCTTGACTCCCTCTTCTTTGGGGCAGCCCCTGAGATACTGGAAGACTGCTATCATGTTACCCCTGGTCCTTCTTTTCATTAAACTAGATATACCCAATTCCAGCAACCGTTCCTGGCACCAGAAGTTCCGTTGTTAAGCAAGGCAGTTGTTAAGGAGCCTGGTTTTATGACCCTTTTGCCACAATTGTTGAACGAATCACTACAGTTAAGTAAATCCAGCTTGCCCCATTGACTTCGCTTGTCAGAAGCAGCCCCGGAAGGTCTCAAATGAGCCCAGGATGCTGCAATCAAGCACCTGAGTTATAATTAGGTAACTGAGGGGATGCTACAACGGTCGTAAGTGTGAGGCCCTTTCTCCAGTGCCTTTGTAACTTCAAACAGTTGCTAAACAAGTCAGGGACCGGCTGTAATTGAGTTGCAAACTGGGAAATGTCGATAAATTGTTAAATGCTCCTACACACACACACACACACACACACACACACACACACCCTCTGCCTCTTCTCCCACCATCCAGCCCAGACAAATTGTGATCTGCAGTGGAGCATTCCTCACAACGTTACAGAGGTCCCTTGGCACCCAACCCCCTAAAAACGTTATTTCTTGTTTTTAAATAAAAATGCCCACTTTTTCTCTCCCTTCCTTTGAATGGATTATTCAGGAATCTGGATGCTTTGGCAGCAGACAGACTTCAGGAGTAATAATAATAATAATAACAAAAGTTGGAAGGGATCTTGGAGGTCATCTAGTCCAACCTCCTGCTCAGGCAGGAAACCCTATACCATTTCGGACAAATGGCTGTCCAGTCTCTTCTTAAAACCCTCCAGTGTTGGAGCATTCACCGCTTCTGGAGGCAGGTTGTTCCACTGGTTAATTGTTCTCACTGTCAGGAAGTTTCTCCTTAGTTCTAGGTTGCTTCTTTCCTTGGTTAGTTTCCACCCGTTGCTTCTTGTCCTGCCTCCAGGCGCTTTGGAGAATAGCTTGACTCCCTCTTCTTTGGGGCAGCCCCTGAGATACTGGAAGACTGCCATCATGTCCTCCCTAGTCCTTCTTTTCGTTAAATTAGACATACCCAATTCCAGCAACCGTTCCTTACTGGAAGCAGGAACTTCCCCCGTTACACAGCCTCCCCCATCTGCGCCTTATCCTGTTCGGGAAGCTTTTTTTCATACAGGTGAAATGCACCGGAAAGCCCCCCCCCCCCCGTGGCGCTGAGCAGTCAGTTCGCCTCCCTTGCCTTGCGCTCTCTCCCTGGCGCACACGTACACCCATCTCAGTGACATGCCATCCAATTCCTTATGAAACATGAGCCCCGGAGCATGTGGGCTTGTTTGATTTCGCCCAACGTGCACGCCGCTGATGGATGTAATGTAAGTCAAACAGATCGCCCGGTGCCCCCAAGTCATTTCAAGTTTTCAAACAGCAGGAGGTCACTAGATTCAGCCATCGAACTGTCAAGCACAAGTCAACTCCCAAAAAAATGATTTTTCTCTTAAGCACCACACATAAACATCCCTGGTAATGGGGCCAGAGTGAGACTGAAAAGGCCTGATTTGTCAGAATAGAATAGAATGGAATAGAATAGAATAGAATAGAATAGAATAGAATAGAATAGAATAGAATAGAATAGAATAGAAATGCAGAATAGAAATACAGAATAGAATAGAAATGGAATAGAATAGAATAGAATAGAATAGAATAGAGCAAAATAGAATAGAGCAGAATAGAATAGAATAGAATCTGGAAGGGACCTTGGAGGTCATCTAGTCCAACCCCCTGCTCAGCCAGGAAACCCTATACCATTTCAGACAAATGGCTGTCCAGTCTCTTCTTAAAAACTTCCAGTGTTGGAGCATTCACCGCTTCTGCAGGCAGGTGGTTCCACTGGTTAATTGTTCTAACTGTCAGGAAATTTCTCCTTAGTTCCAGGTTGCTTCTCTCCTTGATTAATTTCCATCCGTTGCTTCTTGTCCTGCCTTCAGGCACCTTGGAGAATAGGTTAGAATAGAATAGAATAGAATAGAATAGAATAGAATAGAATAGAATAGAATAGAATAAAGCTGGAAGGGACCTTGGAGGTCTTCTAGTCCAGCCCCCTGATCAAGCAGGAGAACCTATACCATCTCAGACAAGTGACTGTCTAGTCTCTTCTTAAAAACTTCCAGTGATGGAGCGCCCACGATTTCTGGTGGCAAGCTGTTCCACTGGTTAATTGTCCTCACTGTCAGGAAGTTTCTCCTTAATTCCAAGTTGCTTCTCTCTTTGATCAGTTCCCAATCACTGTTTCTTGTTCTGCCTTCTGGTGCTTTGGAGAATAATTTGACCCCCTCTTCTTTGTGGCAGCCCCTCAGATACTGGAATGCTGCTATCATGTCTCCCCTATTTCTTCTTTTCTTTAGACTAGCCAGACCCAAGTCCCACAGCCATTCTTCATATGTTTTAGTCTCCAGGCCTTTGATCATCTTAGTTGCTCTTCTCTGAATTTTTTTCCAAAATCTCAACATCTTTTTTGTGACGCCCTGAGTCCTCCGGGAGAAGGGCGGGGTATAAATATAATAAATCAAATCAAATCAAATATGGTGACCAAAATTGGTTACAATATTCCAGGTGTGATCTTACTAGGGCTTTATAAAGTGGTACTAATATTTCGTGTGCTCTTGATTCTATGCCTCTGTTTATGCAACCCAGGATTGTATTAGCTTTTTATATAGGTAAACCTCACCTTAAAAATATTCATTTAGTGACCGTTCAAAGTTACAACAGCACTTAGGGCCGTTTTTCACGCTTACGACTTTTGGGGCATCCCCACGATCACGTGATCAAAATTCGGAGGCTTGGCAACTGGTTCACATTTGTGACAGTTGCAGCGTCCCGGGGTCATGTGATCCTGTTTTGCAACCTGACAAGCAAAGTCAATGGGGGAAGCCAGATTCACTTAATGCCTGTGTTGCTAACTTAACAACTGCAGTGATTCACTTAATAACTGTGGCAGGAAAGGTGGTAAAATGGAGCAAAACTCACAACAAAGCTCTCTTGCTCAGCAATGGAAATTTTGAGCTCAATTGGGGTCATAAGTCAAGGATTACCTGTATTTCTACCGATGACCTTGATCAGAGGTAGGCAACCTTGGCTCTTTGATGACTCATGGACTTCAACTCCCAGAATTCCTGAGCCAGCATGGCTCAGCTTGGAAACCTCTCCCTGTCCCCTCAGCATGGCTGGCTCAGGAATTCTGGGAGTTGAAGTCCACGAGTCACAAAAGAGCCAAGGTTGCCTACCCCTGGCTTAGGGTGTCTGTGGAGATTCTCAGTCCTTCAGGTTATGGTCGTCCCAAAGGTGCTTTTTCACGAGGCAACTGGGCTTCCTTTTTTCTCTTTGAAGACATTTCGCTTCTCATCCAAGAAGCTTCTTCAGCTCTAACTGGATGGTGGGGAATGGGAGGATTTATACTCCTTGCAGACAGCTGATCGTTTGCCTTCTTTTAGAGAGTCATTGAGGCCACTTGGAGGCTTATGTGCATCCTGAAGGTCACCTGAGTGGTACAAATGGGTGTGGAGCCTTCTTGTAGCTGCTGAAAGGACTGTGTTGTAGACTGGAGATAGAGGATGTCGTATCCCTCCCCCTTTGTCGAGGGAGGGCTGTTCAGTTTTGACCTAGATGGCCTCTTTGACCCCTCTTTCAAACCAGATGTCCAAAATGTGGATTTTGTTGTCTTCGAAAGAGCTGGCTGACTCTTGTCCTGATAGGTTTGTTCTCCTATGTTGTGTGGTGCCAGTTTGTGAAGTGGTTGTTAAATCCTTCCATTGCCCACCCTCCAGTCATTGCTGAAGAAGCTTCCTGGATGAGAAGCGAAATGTCTTCAACGAGAAAAAAAGAGAGTCCAGTTGCCTCGTGACAAAAGCACCTCTGGGATTTTCTTGGTGTGGAATTAAGCCTTGGACAGCAAGAGGGACGGCATATAAATTTTGATAAATGAATAAATAAACCATCAGGGGTTCTGAGGGAAAAGGGTAGAAATTACATAGCTTTAGACCAGGGGTAGGCAACCTTGGGCCTTTTATGACTCGTGGACTTCAACTCCCAGAATTCCTGAGCCAGCCACGCTGAGGGGAAAGGGAGAGGTTTCCAAGCTGAGCCATGCTGGCTCAGGAATTCTGGGAGTTGAAGTCCACAAGTCATAAAACGGCCCAGTTTGAAGACCCCTGCTCTAAAGGTACAAACCAAGTAGTTCCACCGGATGTAGAGTTGGTCTGTAGCAGGGGTGGGGAACCTTGACTCTTTTATGACTCGTGGACTTCAACTCCCAGAATCCCTGAGCCAACATGGGGGATCCATGGTCCCTTTATGACTCGTGGACTTCAACTCCCAGAATCCCTGAGCCAGCATGGCTCAGCTTGGAAACCTCTCCCTTTCCCCTCAGCATGGCTGGCTCAGGAATTCTGGGAGTTGAAGTCCACGAGTCATAAAAGAGCCCAGGTTCCCCACCCCTGCTTTAGACGAAGGATTTCTTTAATCCCTATTTTTCCTCTACCCCAACCCCCATTTTTACCCTTCCAGTGCTGGGGTGGGCAGGACCGGCTGCTTTATCGTCATCGATGCCATGCTGGAGAGAATAAAACACGAGAAGACGGTGGACATTTACGGGCACGTCACCCTCATGAGGTCCCAGCGAAACTACATGGTACAGACAGAAGACCAATATAGCTTCATACACGACTCTTTGCTAGAAGCTGTTGCCTGTGGGAACACGGAGGTCCCCGCTCGGAACCTGTACACCTACATCCAGAGGTTGGCACAGATAGAAGTGGGAGAACACGTCACAGGCATGGAGCTGGAATTCAAGGTGAGCAGAGGTACACGGGTGTGTGGCTCGGGCAGTGTGTACCGTTGTCGCTTCCCTGGGAGGCTGCCCAGTTAGCTTGCACAAAGTTGCAATCTGTACACCTAGTCTTTGACTTACAACCGTTTGTTCAGTGACCATTTGAAGTTACAACAGCACAGGAAAAAATAACTTAGACCATTTTTCATACTCATGACCATAGTAGCAGGCCCATGGTTACAGGATCGAATGGAATAGAATAGAATAGAATAGAATAGAATAGAATATAGAACAGAACAGAACAGAACAGAACAGAACAGAACAGAATAGAATAGAATAGAATAGAATAGAACAGAACAGAATAGAATAGAATATAAAACAGAACAGAATAGAATAGAATAGAACAGAACAGAACAGAACAGAACAGAATAGAATAGAATAGAAATATAGGATAGGATAGAGCAGAGTAGAATAGAGTAGAATAGAATAGAATAGAATAGAATAGAATAGAATAGAATAGAAGCTGGAAGGGACCTTGGAGGTCTTCTAGTCCAGCCCCTTGCTCAAGTACTGGAGAGGTAGTAAGATATCCAGATGGGAGTGTGAGTTGCAGAATTTTCCACTGGGGCGGGCTGGCATAGACAACATACAGTTAACGCAGCGTTTCTCCACCTGGGTGACTTCCAGACACGTAAATTTGAACTCCAAAAATATTCAGCAGTAGCCGTGCTGGCTGGCGAATTCTAGGAGTAGAAATACACAGGTTTGAGAGCGACCATCAATGCCCAGAATCCAGCTGGCCAATTTTGATCATGATCTACGTAACAGTGTCCCACATGGAAAGCTCCAAGGACACACCTTTAGAGCCAGGTTCAACTGGAAGAATTCTAAGCACAGGCCATGTTGAATTCTGGGAATGGAAGTCTACGTGTCTGTAAGGGAAAACGTCAACTCCCAGAATCCTCAGCAATTGCCCATGCTGGCTGGGGAATTCTGGGAGTTGAAGTCCATACGTCGAGCGAGTGAGCATTAATTCCTGCAACCTTCAACCAAGGCCACACTAGCTGGAGAATTCTAGGGCAGTGGTTCTCAACCTGTGGGTCGGGACCCCATTTGGGGTCGATCGACCATTTCATGGGGGTCGCCAAGCAAGGCTGTCCGCCATTTTTTTTTGTCCGCCATTTTTTTCCCCTTTTCCGGTGGGTGCCTTACCTCCCTTGGGCTGGGCCAGCTGGTGGTTGGCCTGCTCCGTCTCTGCCGCTTGCCAGCTACGCCTCGCCGGCGCAGGGGGCGGAACCACGCATGCACAGCGCTCCCTGGCAGGGAAAGTCCTCGACTTACGACCGGTTGGGTAGTCCTCAACTTACAACCGGTTTACCCCTCGACTTACGACCGGTTTAGTCCTCGACTTACGACCGGTTTAGTCCTCGACTTACGACTGGTTGGGGTCGCGGCATTAAAAAGGTTGAGAACCACTGTTCTAGGGGAAGAAGCCCACTTTAGGTGAGCTGCTGCCTCTCACCCACCTGTGCTCCTTTTCCTCTGCTAGAGACTCGCCAACTCCAAAGCTCACACCTCCAGGTTCATCAGTGCCAACCTGCCCTGTAACAAATTCAAAAACCGCCTTGTCAACATCATGCCATACGAGACCACACGGGTTTGCCTTCAGCCTATCCGCGGAGTCGAGGGCTCCGACTACATCAATGCCAGCTTCATTGACGGATACAGGTAAAGACCCCAGTTTTGTTTTACATGAGGTTTTGTATCGGACTGCTTTAACTTTATATTCTTCTCATTGGTTGATAATTCCTGCTTCCTGTCTCCTGACTGATTCTGAACGTCTTTCACATTGAATCAGGGAAAAAAGAAAAAGAAAACCCTTTTATAATAGATGTAGGTCAGGGCTTTTCAACTTTTTCACCCATTGTACCACTTTTAGGATATGGCAACATCCGAGGACCACCAGTCGCCTAGCAAGGGGTCAAAAACTTGATGACCCAAAAAAAAAAAGAGGAAAAAAGTGATAAAGTGCAGGTAGTCCTCAACTTACAACAGTTCGCTTAGTGACTGTTCGAAGTTACAACGGCACTGAAAAAAGTGCCCCCCCCCCAAGCTACAGCCGAGCAAGTCACCTGCCTGCCCGCCCGGCCGCGCTCTTCCTCCTGTCCGAGGTTTTCATTGTTGTGAGCATTTCTGTTGAGGATTGGCAGCGGGGGTGGGGTGGGGGGGTGTTTGGTTTTTATTCCCCCCCGTCTGCTGGGTGGTTGCAGCAGGTTTTGGTCACTTCACAAGACCCTGGGACACTGTGACCGTCATAAATATGAATCAGTTGCCAAGCATCTGAATGTAAATCACAAGACGCTGGAGAGGCTGCAACATTCCAGCTGATCGGTGCTTCTTCTGGGCTCAGCAGAAGCGCCAGGATCAGCGCCGAGCTCCAGCTGGAGCCTGGCGCTGATCCTGGTGCTTCCACTGAGCCCTGACAGTCCCAAAGAAGTGCTGATCCTGGCGCTTCCGCTGAGCCCTGACAGCCCTGCAGCTCCAGCCGTCTCTCGCTCAGGCTTGTGCGGTGCTGCCACCAGTTCAGCTTATTCCCCTCCCCTGCTACCACTTTTCTAGGATGGTCACGTACCCCCTGCCAGGTGCCAATGTACCACAGGTGGTACCCATACCGCTGGTTGAAAAGCCCTGATGTGGGTGGCCTGTCTGAGGTGGGAGGGGTGGTCACAGCCTGTAGGCTGGTGAAGATAGACTACAGATCCCAGGGTTCCCAGCCCATGCCAATGCTGACTGAACTGCTTGAAGACCCTTTGATTGTAATTCAACCAGCTGGAGAGGGCTTTGGATTGAAGAACCGAATAGAACAGTATTTCTCAATCTTGGGCACTTTGAGATGGGTGGACTTCAACTCCCAGAATTCCCCAGCCAGCATAGGGAGTTGAAGTCCACCCATCTTAAAAGTGGCCAAGGTTGAAAAAACATTGCCCTGCTTCAGGGGTCTTCAAACCTGGCCCTTTTATGACTTGTGTGCCTGGCTGAGGAATTCTGGGAGTTGAAGTCCACAAGTCATAAAAGGGCCAAGTTTGAAGACCCCTGTATTATACATTAGACTGAGGTATGCGCGTTTGTGACTTCTGTAGAACTTTTCTACAGAATGCACTGGCCCAGTTCTTGTTCTCTTTTACCTTGCTTTTCTTTCTGAATGTTAAGCCTGAATAAGCAAGAAGGTTGTCTGGAAATTCCAAGTGGTCCCCAAGAGTTTCTGGCTCCTATTCTGTTAAGGAGTTGCCCCTAGAACAGAACAGTGGTGGCGAACCTATGGCACGCGTGCCAGAAGCGGCACTCAGAGCCCTCTCTGTGGGCACGCGCGCCATCACCCCAGTCCTAGGCCTTCAGCTGGGTTTTATAAAACCTTTTCACTTTAGGCCTCCGCCGCCATGTGCAAAAAAAAAAAAGGTTCAATCAATCAATTTCAACTTCTCGCGGGGAAAAAAAAAAGATCTTGCAATGTTGGAATTGATTGATTGAACTTTTTAGTCCCACCCAGTCTGCTGTTACCACCGCAGCCACGCCCACCCAATGGGCCACACCCACCCGGCACCCGACAATGCATAAGTGGGTTTTGGGTTGCAGTTTGGGCACTCGGTCTCTAAAAGGTTCGCCATCATTGCCCTAGGATAAGTCTTCATCTCCTATTAGCAGCGATCCCCATGATCTCTGAACTGCAGAAATCTAGGTGACCACGAGTGGCAGCAGAGAAAAACCGACAAGAAAAAAGAAAGAAAAATGGCTCTTTGCCTCCATCTAGTGCTCACCTGCATCTCTGCAGCCCAATGTCCTAAATTAGGGCTGCTAAAAGCAATGTCTTTGAACTTGGAAAACAAATAGTTCCTTACCAACACAAGAGAATAGTTGAAGCTCCAAGGTTGAACTGTAGGGTCCTTGGTGCTCTCTAAGCTTGGTTGGCTGGGGTTTTTTTTTGCAGATGTTTCATTACTCAATTAGGTAAGATCATCAGTGCTGGAAAGGAGGAGGAGGAGGAGGAGGAGGAGGAGGACTAAGGGGTCCTTGATGCTCTCTGAGCTTCGTGGTTTTCTTGCAGATGTTTCATGACCCAAGTAGGTCACACCATCAGTGCACTGATGATGTCACCTAGTTGGGTCCTGAAACGTCGGCAAGAAAACCACCAACACACTCAGAAAGCGTCAAGAACCCCACAAACAGGTCCTGATTTCTGCATACTGAATTTCTCCTGACATTGGTGGTCTTTCAAGCTAGATCAGTGATGGCGAACCTTTTAGAGACCAAGTGCCCAATGTCAACGCTGCAAATACTGTATATTCTTGCTTTGACAATATGCAGAACTGTCTGGTATTTTTATAGTTAAACCAGGCAACAGGGAAAAAGGGAGGAGAATAAGGATAGCCCGCGGAAAAGAAACCGGAAGTAAATCACATCTTCCAAGTTAATTGGAAGATGTGAACCATGACCCCAAAATAGGGGCGGGGAAAAATGCTTAGAATGTATGTGTAACGGAAAAGAAGCAGCCAGATCTAAGCATTTCCACCATGCTGTACTGACGTCTCTGTAACCTTAATAAATGCTTTTAGGAAAAATATGCCTGAAAGTCCTTTGAAGTGTTTCGTTAATCAGACACATGACACCCAAACTGCAACCCAAAACTCACTCATTTATTGCAAAGTGCCAGGACTGCATCAGCATTGTGGTGCTCTCAGGGGGAGCGGGGTTGTGACCCACTGGGTGGGCGTGTTCCAACATAGCTGTGATGGTCACGGCAGACTGGGTGGGTGTGGCTAGGGTGGGTGGACCAGGACCAGGGTGGCAGGGACCAGTCCCTCGCCATCTTCTGGGTATCCTCGGGGGGGGGCGCCAATGCCACTTGCTTGCTCACTTCCTGCCCCATTGCTTCCAAACACCACATGCTCGCTACTACGGCGAACTCTGCTGGGGCAACGGCGCGCGTGCCCACAGAGAGGTCTCTGAGTGCCGCCTCTGGCACACGTGCCATAGGTTCGCCACCACTGAGCTAGATCAGGGCTTTTCAACCTTTTAACCCATTGTACCACTTTTAGGATATGGCAACATCCGAGTACCACCAGTCACCTAGCAAGGTGTCAAAAACTTGATGACCAAAAAAAAAAAGGAAAAAAGTGATGAAGTACAGGTCGTCCTTGACTTACAACAGTTCGCTTAGTGATTGTTCGAAGTTACAATGGCACTGAAAAAAGTGCCCCCCAAGCCACAGCCGAGCAAGACGCCTGCCTGCCCACCCGGCCGCGCTCTTCCTCCTGTCTGAGGTTTTCATTGTTGTGAGCATTTCTGTTGAGGATTGGCAGCGGGGGTGGGGTGGGGGGTGTTTGGTTTTTATTCCCCCGTCTGCTGGGTGGTTGCAGCAAGTTTTGGTCACTTCACATGACCCTGGGACACTGTGACAGTCATAAATATGAATCAGTTGCCAAGCATCTGAATGTGAATCACAAGACCCTGGAGATGCTGCAACATTCCAGCTGATCGGAGCTTCTTCTGGGCTCAGCGGAAGCGCCAGGATCAGCGCCAAGCTCCAGCTGGAGCCTGGCACTGATCCTGGCACTGATCCTGGCGCTTCCATTGAGCCCTGACAGCCCTGCAGCTCCAGCCGTCTCTCGCTCAGGCTTGTGCGGTGCTGCCACCGGTTCAGCTCATTCCCCTCCCCCGCTACGCCTTTTCTAGGATGGTCACGTACCACCTGCCAGGTGCCAATGTGCCACAGGTGGTACCCGTACCACTGGTTGAAAAGCCCTGAGCTAGATCCTGCCAGGCTGAAGTTTGAGTTTCTAGCATCAATTCTTCAACCTGGCAGGGGTGAGATGTGTTACTAGGAGCCATCCCTTGCTGCTTTGTTCTTTGTGGCTGGTGGGTTCAAGACGACGAGCCCACCTCTGCTGTCCACCTTGATAGGGGTCTTAGCATTCTTCTGGACCTGGATGAGCAACTATGATGACTTCAGGACCGGTGGACTTCAGCTCCCAGAATCCCTGAGCCAGAATGGCTGGCTCAGGAATTCTGGGAGTTGAAGTCCACCGGTCCTAAAGTCACCATGGTTGCCCACTCCTGTTCTGGACCTTCATTTGCATTTAAAGGCCACCTTGCTTCCTAAGCTTGCTTTACAAGCAGAGCTGGTTTCCTTGCTTCTTCCTGCAGGCAGCAGAAGGCTTACATCGCCACCCAGGGACCCTTGGCTGAGACCACAGAGGACTTCTGGCGCATGCTTTGGGAGAACAACTCAACCATTGTGGTGATGTTGACCAAGCTGCGAGAGATGGGCCGGGTAAGTGGGGCGTCCTGGTTTCTTGGGGCTTCATCCCAAATCCCCAAATGATGGGTGAACACCCCTTGAATGTCAGGCTTTGATTTCCCAGCTGCCCTTTGTTTTTCTCCCAGGCAGCGGATAGTAATGTACCTAGAGAGGTCAAGTCTCTTATCTTGATGTGTCTAAAAAAGGATTGTGGCCATCCTCTTGATTTTTTTGGGGGGGGGACCCTTTCTTTTCTTGCTGAAACTCCTGGCTGTCTGTGGCTATTTGCATATAACCCCATGTACAGCTAGAAATGCACGTGAGAAGCCCCTCAATCTACGGGTTAGAGAGAAAGGAATGTGATATGTAACTTTGAATATATATTAGCATTGAGCGATTAATTAACATATTGTTTATGATAATTCACTATTACTCGTTGCTTGCTTTCTTCTTTTTTAAACACGTGAACTCAGACATTATGCTGTTTGCTAAATATTGAGAATGTTATTTGAAAAAACCCTAATCCTAACCCCGACCCCATATGTATTGGCTGGAGCACCCAGTCTACCAAGTATAGGATAAATCAGTCTGTTCTGCGTTTCGCTCCAATCTAGGAGCATGTTTTGCAGGCAGACGTCACATACTGTGAACACTGTAAATTCAAAATTTTTGTGGCTGACAAAGAGTTAGTGGGAGACTAGTATACCTATTTCAAGCTCTTTAGCTCTCATCAGCTAGTCATACCCCTCTAGGATTCGAACCTGGGTAGCTTGCATGTGTGTGTGTGTGTGTGTGTGTGTGTGTGTGTGTGTGTGTGTGTGTGTGTGTGTG